ATAGAGTTTTTTTATCATATTTTAAATTGGCTTAGTATGAATTAGAATCCACAGAAAGCTAATGGTCTTTCTTCTTTAAAATGTCACTAACTATGCCTTCACTAATATTATTTTCATTAGCTAAGTCTTTTTGTTTTAAAAAAGGTAATGATATTTTTTTCAAATAAAGTTCTTTTATTTTACAGCTATAAAAAATTTTGTTTTTTTTAAAGGTTCATTTTGTTTATTAGTATGTTCATTAAGTTGTTTCTTTGAGTTTACTTTTGGCATTATGCAAAGAAAAAAAAAAATTAAACATATAAAAAAAAAATTATCATGAAACATAAGACATAATGTATAATATGAAATATTTATTTATTGTTCATTTTATTTAAAAAGTTAAAGGTACAAAAATTTATATAACTAAATTTAGTTAAGCAAAATTTTGTTGTATCAAAACAAAATTCATTATAAAGATAATTTGTTATAAAAAGAGTCATTTTATATATAAATTTTTCTGACTTTAATTTGTTAAACATAATACAAATTTTTAATTACCAAATTTGATATAGTAAGGTTTTTTTTATATTAAAAATCTGTTCTATACTAAAAATTTGTTATATTGTAAAATTCATTATATTAAAATTTGTTGTAAAAAGTGTTGACTATATATATATTTATAAAATTTTTTTAAAATTTTAATTTTTCATAAAAGTAAATCAGAAGGAAATTTATAATAAATAATTAGACAAAGTTGCTTGTAAATTTTAACAGTTTAAGAAATAAAATAAGTAATAAATAAAATAAATTTAAAAAATAATACATATAAATAGCATAATAAAATATGATGTGATAAATACAAAATTTTATTTTATACTATACTATATTAGTTTTATAATAACTAAGTTTTATTATTAGACTCGTATAGTATATTATAATATTAAATTTTGCAAAAATTACTAATTTGTATAATTATATTATATTAGCTTAGAAAATTGTATTATATTAGGTTCTATATATTTAATTCTCAATAATTAATAATTTAATATAGCTTAAATTTTGATATATTATAAATATAATTATTATTAATTTAAATCACTAGATATTAAAAAATAAATTTACAAATTTTAATAAAAATGTATTAATTTTGTAATAATATTTATATTATAATCTCAATATCTAGTGATTCAAGTTAAATAAATTTTAATATGTTATTCTTTAAGATTATATTTTAAATATATTAAACTTTAGTTTAATTTCAATTAATAAGTTTTAAGAAATACAATATTATAAATTGTATTTAGAGCTTTTCAACATTTTTTATATATCTGAAATTTAATTTAGATATAAATGTCTGAAATTTAAATTCTATTTGAAGTTTAATTTTAAATATTTTAATTTTAGATAATTTTATATCTAAAATTCAAATTTTATTTAAAATTTTAATTTCAAATATTTTAATTTTAGACAGCCTTATATCTGAAATTTAGAATTTATATAAAGTTCAATTTCAAATATTTAAATTTTAAACAGTTTTATATCTAAAATATAGATTTTATCTAAAGTTCAATTTTATATATCTTAATTTCAGACAGCCTTATGTCTGAAATTCAGATTCTATCTAAATTTAATTTCAGATATCTTAATTTCAGATGTTACATTTTATTTATAAATTTTATTTTAAAAATAAAATTTGAAGTGATATAAAGATTTCTCAATAAAGATAAGTTACAATAAACAAGTAAAGTCTATAAAATCTATTACTATTCCTCCTTCTAGTTTAAAGACATCTAAATTAACTATGACACCTAAAATATTTACTTACTATTTCACTCAAATTACTACTCTCTGCCTTTCAGCTTAACTACTAAATCTGAAATCAAACTTAATTATCTGATTGATAAATTTTTATTTTACAATCACAGAAAAAATAATAACACTATTGAAAGGTTTAGGAAGTTAATTATAAAAAAAACTAATTTTAGTGAATTATAGCAAGATTCTTTATATGATAGATTGTTAATAATTCTTTCAGATTAAACAGTTTTGATAACCCTATGTGAATATTACAATTACTTTAATAGCTAAGAATTCCTTTCTACAAGCAAAGTTGAAGAGAACTTTTCTATGTAATCTGCCAAAAATCATGTACAAATTATTATAAATTTACTCACTTCTACTGGTAAGTGAATTATAAAATATTATATAGTAATTCAATATCAAAATAATAATCATATATTTATTGATTTTATATTCTTAATCTATTTTACTTAGACTGTAAAGTTAAAATAATAAGTAAAATGATTGAACATTTTAATATGTGATGAAACACATAAAAAGACACTCAATAATATAAATCAAAAGTTCATTAAATCAAATTAACTATTTATTAAAGCTAATGAAAGGTAAATAGATTTGTTTGCATCTTTTTTACCTTTTTAGCTATATCTCTTTCAGAATAAATCAAACAGAAAAAGACGAACTGCTCAATCACTTCAATTACCTATAATTGCAATTAATGCAAATGATTTTGAAATAGAAAAAGAGGAAATAAACTATTCAACTAAGATACATGTAATGAAAATCAACAAGCAAATGATACTAAAGTAAATAATATTACTAAAAAAAGAATATATCACTATTAAATGAGAAGCATTTAAATTCCTAATGGTTATGATTTTATATCACTAAATCTCAGAAGTTACTTTGTTATAAAAATATAACGTACTAAGTGAGATGATAAATGTAATAATTACAAAGAAACACCACTGATTTTTACATTAGTTCATGAAATTCAGGCTGGATTTGAATTAAAGAAGGATATCCAAGAATCTCATATTTCTCAAGCTATTAAATAGCTTTTTACAGCAAATATTTGCTCAAATAAAACTGTATTTATAGTTCTTACTGATTTGAATAGCAAATGAATTTTTTTCTAGTTAGAAAATAGTTTAAAATTATGCAATCTCAAGTCAGTCTACATGTTGCAATTTCTATTATTGAATATGCACTTGAAAATACTAATGATTCTTCACTTCCTTTCACAAAAAAAGTTTAATAATTTCTTAGAACATGTATATATAGGAAGTGTAGGTCCTAATTTAACTAATGAGAGACTAGCACATGGTGAGAATGATTATTTGGAATTATTTCTAAAAAATCCTAAGGTTCATCTTGAGTTTGAGCAAATATGAAAGATGTTTATGATATGATGACTGAAGAAGAAATATGTAATTAGAAGGTGAGACGTGTATTAAACCTTTTAAAGAAACACTAGAATTTTAATCATTTTCAAACAGATAATAATTACAAAAACATGTTTGCATAATTGATCAGTAAAATTTGCAGATTTGCAGGTGGAGTATAAAAAGAAATTGTTCAAGCATTTTCTTCATTGGTATAGGTTAATAGTTGCTCTTTAATTCTTTTTATTAATTTTGTTTATTTTAAACTTAAGAATTAAGAGAAGCTGCTCACATTGATTGTGATTCTTATTTAAATTAATCATGAGCATCATCTCAATCACTAGCCAATTACATTGATGTAAATGCTTGAGATCGCCCTTAATCAAAAAAAAAAAGATTTTATAAAATATATTTTATTTGTTTCACTATTTTTTAATTTAAAATGTCAAATTATTTTATTTTATTTTATACAAGACTACAATTTTTTTTAATGGAGGAAATTATATTGCTTAGGGTTTGAATACATATCATACTTCACTATCATGTTAAAGCTTCTCAACCTCATTTAGGATGTCGATTTATAAATGCTCCAAATATGATTTAACCCTCCTTTTGATTTTTTTTTATTTTGAAGAAATTTATTAGATAATTAATGAAAATTTGTCACGAATGGGAAAATATTTTCGAAATATTGTTCTAATCAAATAAAATTCATTTAATGTATCTGAAAAGCATATTAAATTAATAAAATAAAATCATTAAATATGCATTGTATTTGGCTTGCAGATAAATGTGTACGTAGCTTCTTTCTTATTTGGAATTCCTGGAAGACTTTTTTAATTCCTCCATAAAATTTAAAAAGTATTGCGCGTACTTCTCTATCAATCCTCCGGAAATCATCTGGAATATATAGATGTACATATGTGAGGATTTCATAGGCATATCCATTTGTCAAATTAATGTAAAGTGTACATTTTCAAGTCTTTAAACATATGAAAATGATGGTGGTTCGTGGATTATGGGGATAATCTGGGTAATTCCATATACGACGCCTACAAATCATAAAATTGTAACGTTTTAAGGTATGCATTCATTCCTCCATGGAATGCTTATTGTTTTTTACGAATCCATTCTATCTATATCCGATTAAATGAAAAAATTTTTTCTTTTTACATTCTTATTCAAATTGTCTTTTTTAATAAAAAAAAAAAAAATCGGGATTATTCATTCCAAAAGATTTAGGTATTGAAACACAACATATTTATTTTTTAAGGTAATCAAATGACTTGGATTTTCAAAAAAAAAAAAAAAAAAAAAGAAAAGAAACAACGTAATTAGATTAAACCTAAGTGAATTTTAATTCCACATTTTAAATCCTCTCATCACTAATTTTGAAAAAAGTCAAACCGATAAAGTTCAGGTGGTAAAACGTAAAATGCAACATTTTTGAACGTGACTAAAATGTGAAAGTATGTTTATACCAAATTCAAGTATGATTTACATCATAAAAATCAATATTTACACGATTGAAAGATGAGAATCTAGATTAAGTTGAAATAGTTTCAACAATGAATTAAATTCATTTATAAAAGAGATACTCGTTTATTTTTAATGATTTTAGGTGTTACAGGTGATTCGAAATATCATTCAAAAAGGATTACCAAAACTGCAAATTAATTCTAAGAGATGTTAAATAATCTATAGTTTCGGAAATGAAAGATTTCAATGTATATACAAAGAAAAAAAAATTAAAATTAAAATCAAAATCAAAAATAGGAATTTGAAAGAAAATGTTTGTTATTTTACATATCGGGTTAATCCCTCTAATTGAAAAAACTATTCTTCATCATCATCCTTCACCTCAATTTCAAATTTCTTCAAGATATTCAATTTCTTATATTTTTCGATCACTTCCATGTTTTTCTTATGTATATTTTGAAGTCCCCCCAAGTAAAAATCTTTGATAGAATCATCAACAATAACTATTAAAGAAAACGATTTGAATGGTATGCGAAATTTCCAACACATCAAAAAAGAATCCAGGTCCTCGGGAAATAACTCCGAACCATCCAAATTATAGAGCTTTAACTCATGAAAACTTGGTGGAGAATGATCCACTATGATCGCAAATAGTTCTTCTTCCTTCAAATATTTTTTACCACAAAATTCACCACACCATACTTCAAGACTCTCCAATTGTTTACAACCATTAAAGATGATTTTTAAAGTTTCCACTTCATCATTCTTCAATAATAAAGAAAGCTTAACGAGATTTGGACAAAGCTTAACTATAGATGACTTTAATGATTTATTATCCGTGTCCGTATTAAATTCTTTTAGGTTCTTTCCATTCCTTTCTAAAAAAGATGTAAAATATTCAACCTTTGGACACGCGTAAGGAATTTTTAGGATTTGCAACTTGGGAAAGGTAACGAATTGTAATTCTTTAAAATCGTCAAAGTATCTTTCTTCATAAAAGGAAATATTGAGTTCATGTAAATTCGAGAATGCAGAGATGAAAGATATCGGTACATCTTCAGCAAATGAAACGAGATGTAATTTCGTCAAGGTCGTGGAATGTTTTATCAAAGCTGATAAGATATCCGTCCAATATACGCCGTCACAGGATTGAAATAATTTCAAGTGTTTTAAATTCTTTTGTGAAGCGATCAGGTCGAATAACCCATTTGAAATGATATTTTCAAATTCTATAGTTAATGATTTTAGGTTGTAACAAAATTGTAATAAATGATAAAAAAATTCGGAGGAATTGTTTGAATTACACCTTAATTCTGTAAGGTTTTTTATACAACTTATACCTCCAGGAAAGTAAGTAAAGGGAACATCGAGTAAATTGGGTATGGTTTCAAAGCATATAAAAGTATAATCTAAAACCTTTAAGGAAGAAATTTGTGTCATAAACAGTTTTAAGATTTCCTGCATCGTTAAATATTTGATAAATGGCAAATTCTGAGGTGTAACGGATTTCTGATGTTGAACCACGTGCTCAATGATCTTGTCAACCTTATAAAGGGATAGAACCTTGCAAAAGGAAGCGTAATTAAAAAATGGAGACTTGTAAGTAGGTGTTGAGGTGACGATCCCGTTATCATATAAAACGGTTTTTGATTCCTTTGGAAGACAAGCGAATAAAGCACTAAATATAGAAATCGGTACATGCGTTCGGTACGGTCTATAGTGTACATTATAATGAAAACTCCAAATATCCCTCCATAAAATTCTAACTGCAACCTGACACCAAAGACGGTTAACTAATAAACATGAGTGTAAAGTAACTTTGTCTTCTTCTAAATATTCGAAAATTTCGTTGAGGCAATCAACAGGGAGTTTACAAGTCATTATTTCAAAAAGAAAAAAATTTGGTTTTTTTTTTGAGAAAGAGAAAAAAAGAAATTATGTTACAAAAGTACTAATTTTATATTATTTTTATGTATTAAATATTGGTGTGTTTTTACAAACAAAGTTAACACCCTGAAAATCTTTTTAATAAAGTATTGGAACCGGCTTAAAAAAAACTTTAATCGGTTATTAACCGGTTAATTAACCGGTTAGGGGATTTTTTTTTTTTTTTGGCGCAACATCTCTTTTTTTAATCTTTTTTTTTTTGTTTTTACCAATCTTAATATCCCCTACACACAAATTCATTGAGATTAAAATATAAAAGACTTTATTTCGCTTCACCACCTTATCGATACATCCATTATAAGTCAATTATGAATGGTACGACTACGTGTCAGTTCGGTAAAATCAAATCAATACATTGAACGTAAAAATCAGATATTTAAATCGAGAAATTCTCATTTTTTTGTATCATTATTAATAAATTGATTAATATATTAATTATTTAATAAACAAAAGAAACAAGTTTATGAATTTTATGACTCAAGCTTTAACTAAATAAGATAATAAATCTATTTTGGTAACTACATGTTTTGGAACAAGTACACCATCATTTTTACGTTCTGTGATAACAGCCGAACTATGCTTCTCAAAGAATCTGGTCAATTTCTCCAAGGGTATATCGGTTGTGAACTCTTCAAAGTTCTTTGCTCTAATAAATTTAAACATTACATCATTGACGGGAGAATCAGGTGTTGCCCTTCCTCTAGATATTCTGGCCAATAAATTACCAAGAGTTACTAATCCAACCAATTTTTTATTTGGTGAGGAAGTAACCGGTAATTGATCAAATTCATTTTGTTCAAGTATTTCAATAGCTTCCCTACATGTTGCTTGCGAATCAATAGTGATGGCCACTTTTAAATTTAGATCTTTAATAGTAGCTCCTCCCCATTGTTGAATTTTTGTTTCCTCCTCTTTCTTGATGGTCTCATCAACAAATCCATGTTCTTTCATCCAATCATCATTCAAGAATTTCGTCATGTAGTTTCGAACGGAATCCGGTAATATCACAACAACCCTTTGCCCCTTTTTAAGAGATTTGGCGACTTGAATTGCCGCAAACATCGCTGAACCAGATGATCCCCCACAAAGAATTCCTTCTTCACGAATCAAACGACGCGCATAAATGAATGAATCTTTGTCGTTCGTTTTAATCCAATCATCAACTAAAGTACGATTAAGTGCATCTGGAACGAAATCATATCCAATTCCTTCAACCTAGATAAAATAATTCTATGTTAATATTACGAAAATTACGATTATTAAAAAAAAAATTTTACATACTAGATATGGAGCGACTGATAAATTTGAATCTTCTGGTTGAGCGAGAATGGACCCATAAGGATCTACGCCTATAATCTTAACGGTGGGGCATCTCTCTTTTAATTTCATGGCTATTCCCGTAATCGTTCCTCCTGTACCAGCTCCCGCTACAAGTACATCAAGCTTCCCATCACAAGAGATTAAGATCTCTTCAGCTGTATGATCATAATGAGCAATAGGGTTATATGGGTTAGAGTATTGATCCAAAATTACAGAATTGGGAATTTCTTTGTTAAGTCTCTTAGCAACTCCGATATGAGATTCGGGTGAATCCCATGCTGCTTCTGTTGGTGTACGAACAATCTCTGCCCCAAGAGCCTTAAGAACATCAACCTACTCGTAAAACAGTTGAATATTTAAACGTTTATAAAGCATATAAATAAATTTTTTTTTTCTTCATCTATAGTCACCTTTTCCTGACTCATCTTTTCTGGAAGTGTAATAATTGTTCGATAGCCTTTTATGGCAGCGGTCAACGCAAGACCAATTCCGGTGTTCCCAGAAGTTGGTTCAATAATTGTATATCCTGGTTTAATAATCCCCGCCTTTTCAGCTTCTTCGATCATACGTTTACCAATACGATCCTTTACGGATCCACCGGAATTGAAAAATTCACATTTTGCCACTAATATTTTTTTTTTAAAAAAAAAAACGAGTTTTGAATATATAAATTTGAAATTTTTGACGATAAATTTTTTTGATAAATTACATATTTCACATTCGATTCCTTCGGATTTTGTGATCTGATTAATTCTCACAATCGGTGTATTTCCGATATGATCAAGAATCGTATCAAGAATTGGTGGCTCGGGAAGGCTGTACTTGCACAATATTATTTATTTATGCAATAAACGTTTTTCAAATAAATAAATCGATCAAACAGTTAAAAAATCATCCAACACTTACTGTTGTTCATGATGATGAGGGGATGATCCTGTAAGAGTACAAGTACAATTGTTGGCCATCGTTTTCTAATTATTACCTAGCGAAAGATTTTTAAATTTAAATAAAAATTGCAAAAAAATGGTGCTTAAAAATCAATTGTCGATCATGTATGTCAGGGGAATTTCAAAGTTGAATTTATACTGACATAAAATTTACTAACCGGATTTATACTTGTGAGTTTATGCGTCACAAAACTTTATTTAAATGAAACATCCCTTAAAAAAAATTCACAAAGAAATTTTTTTTTAAAAAAAAGAGATATGATTTAAATATCTGAACAAAACATGACGTTCGAAGTAATAATTCTAAACATTTTTAATATTGGATTTATATTTTGCAAATAAAACTGGTGCTGTAAAACAATATTTTATAAAAAAAAAAAAAAAGAAAAAATTAAACCATTATTAACTTCTCATTTGCAGTTACTTGATATATCACTAAATAAGTCTTTTATAATTAATATAATTAATTCATTTTAGTTTTTTTATATTTAAATTAACTTTTAAAATTTAACAATTTGATTTAATATCTTTATAATTACTAGATAAATGAAGCTATCAAAAATTACATATCTAAAAAATCAAAAAATTATCTTACTCATTTGTAGCAAGATAAATAAAGGAAAATATAAATGTTATTGGCTCTATTATTATCAGACAATTATTTAAATATTGTAGTATCTTAAATGCTTTGTATAAAATAGAAGATAGTTTAATTTTTGATTTCAATTAAATAATTAAAGGAATAAAATTAAATAAGTTGTAAATGAATCAGAAATTAATGATAGTAAAAATGAATTAGAAGATAGAAATAAGTAAAAATGAAAATAATTATTGTAAAAAAAAATGAAGAATTTAATAATTTAAAATTAAAAGTAATAGTATTTAATAAAAATTTATTATTTTATAACATATATTTAATAATTTGTAATATTTAATAGTTTAAATTATTACAAATAAATAATGTCTGCTTAAAAAAATCAATATTGATCTAATATTTTTTTTTTAAAAAAAAAATAAAAATTTTAAATTTTTTTTTATATAAAAATATATACCGTATATTGCGGGCCAAAGTACCCCCCTATGTATAGTACCCCCTCAAAAAATTTTCGCGTGATTTTAAAGTACCCGGATACTATACACGAAAATTTCA